CAGAGCAGGACAGGTCTGCAGAGGCACAGGCAGAGCAGGACAGGTCTACAGAGGCACAGGTGGAGGACAGGACTACAGAGGCACAGGTGGAGGACAGGTCTGCAGAGGCACAGGTGGAGGACAGGACTACAGAGGTACAGGTGGAGGACAGGTCTGCAGAGGAACAGGTGGAGGACAGGTCTGCAGAGGCACAGGTGGAGGACAGGTCTGCAGAGGCACAGACAGAGCAGGACAGGCCACAGAGGCAGAGGCAGTAGGAAGTGCTGCATACTCTAGCAATCTGACCATTTTTACAAATCCTGAACTGTCCTGTAGGCCAAAACCCCAGTAAGGTTTCCCACAAGCAAGAGGCAGCAGGGGGCGGGGGACGTGGCAGCAGGGTCTGCACGTGCTGTCTGGGAGAAGAGGGGCTAGGAGTTTCCTCTCTGTGCCCTTCTCATTTCAGATCCTGGGAGTGGGTCTCCATCTTTCTCAGAACTAATGCAAAGGCTCTCAGAACCCTGGAGCAGAGAACAGGTCGGTTCTGTGGCACATTTGTGCAGGTCCCTGGGTGAGTGCTTACCATGAGGAAGAAGTACCAGGGCTGCGGCACGCCGAACTGGCCAGGGAAGACAGCCTCCACATACCAGGTCACCAGCCCGTAGAGCACGGAGTCCAGCAGTAGCATCCCCAGCACTTGCCCGAAGCAGAAGTCATCATCCACGTTGACAGGACTCAGGAGGTCTCGCCACTGGATGCCTGTGCCTGAGGAACATTCCAGGAAAATAGCCCAAGCTGGGCAGGCTGGGAGGGCCCAAGTGGTACACACACGTGCTGTCATTGGGAAGGCAGTGTGAGTGTTCCCCTCCCAACTTTATAAGCCATCTGATAACCTCCTTCAAGTTGTTATGACAACGGCAAGTTGGCAAGTTACAAAATCAGTAAGTTCCAGAATTATTTCAATGGGCTTGCATTTCATTACCAATGAACACACACATATAGACACGTATGGCTAGAGATGCACATAAAGACAATATACATGTGTGCACAGCTACCAATATGCATATGCACACACACATGTCCAATGTGAACTAATGTGAATGTAACAAGGCCTTCTTAAAACTGAGACACCTGCCGGGCGCTGGTGGCTCAGGCCTGTAATCCTAGCTACTCAGGAGGCTGAGATCTGAGGATCATGGTTCAAAGCCAGCCTGGGCAGAGAAGTCTGTGAGACTCTCATCTCCACTAAACCACTAGAAAACCAGAAGTGGCGCTGTGGCTCCAGCGGTAGAGCGCTCACCTTGAACTGAAGAGTGCAGGGATAGCGCCCAGGCCCAGAGTTCAAGCCCCACAACTGACAAAAACAAAAACGAGACACCTGAGACAGACGGGAAGCCTGTTTAATGGCACTTGGTTTGCTGGCAGCACACTGCAGAGCAGACATGCCTGGGCCTGGGGGGTCTGGCCATCCTTTGCTGGCTGAGGGGCCCTGGATGGAAAGGCCTGCTCTCCAACTGTGGCTTTGTTTTGTTGGGAGATTTTTTTTTTCCAATGTGAATACCATGTAAACATTTATGTTTAGAAATTTTGAGATTTTCTTTAGAGTATTAAGAAAATTGTCAACAAACCTTTTTATTGTTAAACTAAAAAAAAGTATTTTCACCCTGCAAGGCTGTATTCCATTAACAGGATACTAAATATGAAAATAAATACTAGGGGCTGGGAAGGTGGCTCAGTGGTAGAGCGCTTGCCTTGCATGCCTGAGGCCCTGGGTTCGATTCCTCAGCACCATGTAAGCAAAAAGAAAAAAGCCGGAAGTGGTGCTGTGGCTCAAGTGGTAGAGCACTAGCCTTGAGCTGAAGAGCTGAGGGACAGCGCCCAGGCCCAG